GTGGATATAGTCCCACATCGGTTAGGAAGGCGAACGAAGCATGCCATATATATGGGTGTGGATACCTTCCTTGTGAGGAGGCCTTTTGGGGTGGCATGCGTGTCATCGCCAAGAGCAAAACCGTGCGGCCGTGGGCCAAAGCGGACAATATCCTCATGCGGGTTGCTTGGGCTGTTACATTGGTATCAGAGCCGGGGCCCGGATCGGTGTGCCAGCGAGGGCGCTGGACTCCCTTGAGGGGGGGTGGATATAGTCCCACATCGGTTAGGAAGGCGAACGAAGCATGCCATATATATGGGTGTGGATACCTTCCTTGTGAGGAGGCCTTTTGGGGTGGCATGCGTGTCATCGCCAAGAGCAAAACCGTGCGGCCGTGGGCCAAAGCGGACAATATCCTCATGCGGGTTGCTTGGGCTGTTACAATAAGAATCTTTATCGATATGCAAAATAATTGTCAGTAAATGTTTTAGCAACTCTACATACAATGATTAATGTGTACATGTTGGAAAAAGATTTTACAGAAATTTTTATTGTCACTAAAATATATATTAAATGTCACTAAAAATCTATTTTATTGTAATGAATTATGAAAAAGTGGGATGCATGCTTAGAGACTAAAGGCAATAATAATAATAATATTAAACAATTTCCCATCAATTAACTCAAAGTTTGTACTCACTTTGATCACGTCTGTGAGGTTTCCAATTACAATATCTACAAATTCTTGATGATTGACCGGAAGAAGCACAGTCGAATTTGGATCCAGAAGAGTACCGTAGTCATTGGATCCAATGCTAAACAAGTGTACAGATTTTGACAGCATTTCCTCGGCTTTTGCTTGTCCCAGTCTCTGACTAAATAATTTGTTTACATTTCTTAAATAACTCACTTGAGTTTTGAGGTCTATTACCTACATTCATGTCAAGGATAAAAACTCAGAAAAGGCAAAGATTAGTATAAATGAGTTGCTATGGTAATTTTTTTTAGAAATCTAAAGGTTTTGTTATAATTATTTTGAGTTAATAATTGAATGAGTTTGCAGTAAGGTAGAGATAGAGGGAGGGAGTCTTAGTACATAATAGCATTTATTAATATACCAAAAAGCTTCTATGTATGAATTAATGTATAAAATCAAGTTAATTTTTAGAGTGTATTGATCGACAAGTAGTTTTAGATAGCTTTTAACTTTAATTACTAGTTCCTGTCAAAAGAAAATATTATTTACTAGTTGAAAAACTTGTTTTATTTTTTGTAAAAAGTATTCATTTTTATTTTAATAGTTCCTAACTTTAAATTTCTTTTATTTATCATAATTATAATGAAAATATTAAAATTTGAACTTAAAAACTTATACATACTACCTCAATTCCTAACCATTAATTCTTGTAGTTTATGTTATACTGATTTAAATATAAATTTTAATTCATATAATATATTTATTTTGTGGTTTTAGTAATTTATATATCATTTACATTGAAATATATAACTTTTAGTTCTTATTTAAAAAGCATCATACTTTTTCTTTAATACATGAAAATGTACTAAATTTGTCAATCAAAATTTTATGATACTAAACAGACAATTTTTAAAGATCAAAATAATTGTTTAATCCTTTTTTTATTTTATACTAACATTTTGTTTGGACATGAAGAAAACAAAATGAGAAAATTAATAGGAAAAATAAAGGAGAAAGAAGAAAGAATAAATATTTATTAAAAATGTTTTGTCTTTTAGGAGGTTGCCGTATTTCCAAAAAAAAAAATATCAGTATATTCTAAATTCTAAAGTCTAAACTTTAAAATTATATATATAAAATAGTTTTTAAGAAAAAAAAAATTTTTTTGGAAGTGATTAGACTTGGCACTTGGAGGTCTAAGAGTACAAATTGAACTTTGGAGGGAGGTGAGCTACTAAAGAGCCACTTAATAACCAAGCCTCTTCAAGTAAAAATCTCTAAACCCCC